CCCCCCCCTTGCTCCCTGCTTACTTCTCATCCAGAAACTGGTAGAGCCCATGGTCCAGCAGCACCAGCTGTGCCTTCCCATCTGGGCCTTTCCGCACCAGAACTAGGGACACAGCACATTGGCTCTCGCCCCCCTACCCCTGGCCCCCCACCCTCACCCCGGGGTGGGGGTTCTTCCTACCATTGCCAGGGTGGGGGTCAGAGTGGATGAAGCCTGTGTAAAATATCTGCTCAGCAAAAGTCTGAATGAGCTTCTCTGCTATCTGGAGAGAGAACAGGACTACGCCACCATGGCCCTGTGCTCAGGGCGCCCACACACCCCTCCCATATCCACGCGCCGACACGCACGGCACTCACGTCCTTCACTGCCAGCCCCATGGTCTTGATGGCCTCCACATCGTTGACCTTGCAGCCTTCACAGAATTCAGCTGTCAGCACACGCTGGGAGAGAGCAAGTGGCTGAGCTCAGCAGGCCCGTACGTTCCCACCCAGGAGGGGGCCCAGCCCACCTTGCTGGACGTGTCCCAGTACACGCGGGGGACCACGATATAGCGGAAGTGCTGCAGCTCCTGTGCACAGCGCTCAGCGTTTCGGCCCTCGTTCTCGAAGTCCAGCTCCTGGGCCAGGGTGCCCTTCAGGTCCTGGGGGCCACATGGGCAGCTGGGGGTCCAGGTCAGGGACCAGCCCACCCCCAGCACACACGTGCAGACACTGCTCCAGCCTGCCTCTGGGCAGCGGTTACCTGGAGGACCCAGCTGAAGCCGAAGCTGGGGTGCATGAACTCGATGAGCTGGAGCAGGAGCTCCAGAGTGTGGATGTCGCCGTCAAAGCGGTCCCGCAGATCGATGTACTGCACCTGCGTCAGGCAAGGCTGCAGGGAGGACCCAGGGCCGCCACCACAGCCCCAGAGCCCGCTGTGGAGCGGCACCCCCCCCACCCCCATACCTTCACAGCCACGGCCGTGCCGTCGTGCAGCTTGGCTCGGTGCACCTGGGCCAGGCTCGCAGCAGCGATCGGCTGGTAGTCAAACTCCTGGAAGAGCTTGTGGGGTAGGGCCTGGAAGTCTTCAAGGAACAGCTCGTCTACCTGGCAGGAGAGGCTTCTTGGAGCAGCGTGGGGGCCGTGCAAGGCCCCCAGCTCCCAGCCCAAGAGTAGGGCTCACCTCCCGGAAGCCGCGGGTGAGGGCCCTGTCCTCCAGCACACGCAGGGTCCTGATATACTCCGGGGGCAGCAGGTGGTTGAAGGAACACAGCCCCTGGCCCAGCTTCACGTAGAGGCCCCCGTTGCTGATGGCCCCGGCCACCAGCGCGTCAGCCGCCCGCTGGTGACATGCAGACATCACCTCCAAGTACCCCGGGCTGTTCTGACCACAGGCATGGAGGGAAGGGATGGGGGCAGGCAGGTGCCTCCTTAGTGCCCCCAACACCTACCTCCATCTGGCCTGTCCCCTTCCCCTGGCCCTCCCCCCACCGTGGCCAGGACACGGGGACAAACCTCTTCCACCCCTCGCAGGACGACGTTTGCACACCACCAGTAGTCCAGGGAGATCTGGAGGCCGACCCTCAGAGACCTGTGGGCACAGGCTGTCCTCAGCCCTTGGCAGGCACTGGGCCTCAGACCCCCCACTAGCCCACCAGACCAAAGTGAGCACGTGGCAGGGGCTGTGGGGATCACAGGCCGGACCAGGACACAGAGGACGGGCTCCGGTCTAGCCTCCTTGCTCCCGGACAGCATTGCCGGCAGGGCGGTCTCCGTTCCTGGTCTGCACAATGGGCAGCCCGCGTCCATGCAACCCCTGTCCCTGAACGCGCATCAGCGAGCATCCAGGATGTCTGGGGACGGCTCGCGCCCTACCAGTCAGGCATGGCTTCTTTCTCATTCTTTCACAGCAACTAAGAACTGGTGCAGCAGTGATGGCCGGCAAGCTGGCTGCTGTCACCAGTTCCTATGTGCAGATGTGACCTGGCTCCAGGCCCCTCCGTACTGCTGGCCCTGCCTCTGTACTCAGCCTCCTTTCCCAGACTGGGCTCTGCCAGCCCCCCAGGCACTCTCCACATGTCCCCGGACAGCTCCATGGAGCTGTCCTGGGGGCCCAGACCCCTCCTTATGACAGCGAGGGTACTCGCTCCCCGCCCTCCAGGCTATGGACAGGGACCCTGGGTCTGGAGAGGGAAAAAAACCAGGGCTGAGTCCAGGCCTCTGGCGTCACAGACCACAGACCCTCAGACCTTTGAGTGGGGTGTGGGGCTCCTGTTCTTCAGGAAAAAGCCCTGAGAGGACCTGAGGCCACTGGTCAAGCCAAACCTCTACCTCCCTGCCTCTCGGTCACCTCTGTCACAGAAGGGTCGGAATTAAAAGGCAGGAAGGAATAGGCTGCTAGATCCTGGATAGGTTTGCTTCCTTGCTGCAGTACACGCTGCTCCCAGCAGTCACGTAGAGCAGCGTGTGAGTTCAGCCCATGCCCTGTGCCTTCCAGACTGTCCCCCGTAGACCAGCTCTGCCCCACTCACCCCCTAGCCCCACACAGGAAACAAACAGGATTGCCTGTGAAGAAGGGAATGCGTGGTTGGCAGGGTGAGCAAGGACACAGGATTTCTCTGAGCTCCACAGACGCAGGGGAGAGGGCTTCCCTCCCTGAATAATTCAGTCCAAAAGCCAATGCAAGGTCTGCAAAGGTGGGGGTGGGGTGGGGGGGGGCTGGGTAACTGCTTCACGCAAGGTGACCGATCGAATAAGCCACTAAGTTAAAGACGGGGAAGCCAGGATTCTCCCAGTTGGAGAAGGGCGTCACAGATATACAAAGGGAGAGAATGAGAGAGGCCCCTGTGGGGAAGTATCTGTGTGAAAGCAAGGTTTGGCAGGAAACAAACACACCTAAGTACGCGCGCGTGCACACATTCACGTGCCCTAACGGCCCCCAGCGCTAGTCTGGGAGGGCCTGGGAGCACACACACCCAACGTCTACATCATCCTTAAGACCCTTCTCCCACTCCCTTGGAGAGAAGCTGACTCCAGACCTGGGAAAGAACAAAATGAGCCTGGAGTATCTCAGTGCAAAAGGAGGAACCAAATGCTCCAGAAATGGAGACATGCCAAAAGGATTCAGGGGTAGGAATTGATGGGAGAAAAGAAAATAAAAAGCTGAGATGTTAATGGCAAAATCTACGTTCACAGCATAGTGTCTCCAATTCCACTGTTTTAAGTGTTTACTATAAAATGTTGGAGATAGAAGGAAGGATGTACACCTGAAACAAATAGTACACTATGTTAGCTCATTGGAATTTAGATAAAAACTTGGGGGGGGGGAGGAAAAAAAGGATCGCAAAGGCCAGGTTGAAGGGGCTCCCACCAGCCAATCCCGGAGCAGTAGGCAACAAAAAAATCCACAGTGATGTCAACAGAGAGCGACCCACAGAATAAAAAATCCATGAGTCCAGACTGACACGAATAAATGGGGAAAAGAGAAATTTTTTTCTTACAGTACAATGACAACTAACAAACGTGGAAAGACTGAATTAGAAAAAAACACCATCTGGCGAACACATAAGAATGAATTCACCTGAGATGCCCCGGGAGCCCTGAGGCGGTGGGCAAGGGGTGGCAGGAACAGACATCGACATGACGCAAAGACCAGGAACCAAACAGCAAAGCTCACTGGGACGCACCGAAACCACGTGCCACCTGACAGGTGCAGAATGGTGTCATTTCCGTGCTGTTCCTGCCCAAACGCACCAACTGAATCCAGCTGTGAGCACGCATCAGACAAACCCAACCAGAGAGGCCTTCTACAAAAGGGGTCAGCAAAACTTTTCTTTACAGAGTTAGTATTTTGGGCTTTATGAGCCACACGGTCTCCACTCTGCTGTTGTAGTGAAAGCAGCCTCAGGCAACGTGACTACGGCTCCAAGAAAGCTTGATTTATAAAACACGCAGCAGCCACTTTTGGCCACAGTTTGCTGACCCCTGTTGTACATTACCGGCCTATAAGCCTCCAGATGTGTCAAGGTCACTGTGTAATGAAGAATTAGCTTTATTCAGAAGGGTCTGCCTGGCCTTTGCCCCAAGCTCCTGGCAGGGGGCCTCTAAAACCGTGGGATTTCCTGAGTGACAGGAGAGTCTGATTCATGATGGGCCAGGATGGTTCATGCTAACGAAGAGCTCAGATCTCTAGAAAGATCAACCATGTGACTAGAATTTTGGGGGCTCTGAGCCAAGATATCAGCCCAGCTGGGGAGGGGAGGGAGACTGGACCCTGAGTTCAATCAGGAGGCCAATGATTCCATTGTTCCTATGTAATGGAACTCCACTAGAAACTGCTTGCCGAAGCTCAGGGAATACCCAAATGCACGGTCACACAACAACAGGGCAGGAGTGGGGGTGTAACGTGTCACTGAGGACATGGGAGCTCTGAGTTTGGGACTCTCCTGGACCTTACTCTGTCCATCTCTTCCTTGGGCTCATCCTAATTTGTATCTTTTTTGCTTTGATAACATAATCCAGAGGCCAGAACTTTCCTGAGTTCTGTGATTTGTCCTAAGGAACTATCGAAACTGTCTATGGGGATCCCTGAGGACAGCCCTAGGCACACGTGGGGGTTTGGGGGACCACGCTTGACCTCAAGTTTAGCCATAACAGCCAAGGAGAGGAGCGCCTGGTTGGCTCAGTCGGTTAAGCATACAACTCTTCATTTTGGCTCAGGTCATTATCTTGCGGTTTGTGGGTTTGAGCCCCACATCGGGCTCCACACTGTTAGTGTGGAGCCTGCTTGGTATTCTCTCTCTCCCTCTGCCTCTCTCTGTCTCAAAATAAATAAATCAACTTTAAAAAAAAAAAGAGCCAAAGAGACAAGGGGGAATGTACCAGACCGCAGGAGATTAGAGATAGGCCTAGCATGGGATCCTTGTGCTAAAAAGGTTATTGCCATACATGTGAATGAGCTAAGGTGGTTAGAGGCTTATAACGTATCAGCTTCCTGACTGTGCTTATGGAGAATGTCCTTGTTTAGGAAACACACTCAAGGTTTCAGGGATAATGGAGCACACTGACAACTTATATGCAGATGTTTCAAGGAAAAAGAAAAAGTTCTTTTGTATTATTCTTACAACTTTTCTGGACATTTGAAATTGTATCCAAAAAAGGAAAGCCCAAAAGTTTCTGAAAAGTTAAAATTAAGTAAGGGGTGGGATAAGAAACCAAGGCCTTGGTGTGAACTTTCCACCATCCCCATCTTTGAGTCCTCACACATGTACGACATGTTCTGATCTCTGCTCTCTGCACCAGAACAAGCCCCCGACTCTCCTGGTGCTGAGCCGGTCCTGACCTGCCCCTGGCCTGTGCTCCATCCGTGGCTCCTGAGTACACAGTGCCCCTTACTCCAGAGGCCCTGTGGTCACCCTGTGCCCAGCCTGCCTCTCCTAGCAACTGCTGGGGCTTACAGCTGACAAGGACAGCTCCCCTCCCTCTAATCCCAGCTCGGCCTCAGAAAGCAAGCTGTAAAATTACATTTTCTTTTTAAAGGTTTAACTTTTTTTTTTTGAGAAAGAGAGAGAGAGCGTGAGCAGGGGAGGAGCAGAGAGAAGGAGACACAGAATCTGAAGAAGGCTCCAGGCTCTGAGCTGTCAGCACAGAGCCCAACATGGGGCTCGAATTCACGAATCGTGAAATCATGACCTGAGCCAAAGTCGGACGCTTAACCGACTGCGCCACCCACGCGCCCCTGTAAAATTACATTTTCTCAGGAAGGAAGCAGAGAAGGCAGGCATGCCAAGCCTGCTGACGGGGCACCCGATGCTGGGAAATAACAGCACATGAGAGGCAGAAGGTGAGACAAGCCCAGACCTGCTGAGTGTGCATTTCAGAACCAGGCTGCACAGTCTGGACAGTCCCACGTGGTGGAGGCTCACAGGAGACAAGACTCCGGGCCTGCCCTCGTCAACCTGAGGGCTGTGGAGACTGTGCAACCCTGCAGGACAGAGAAGTCATGGCCCAGAAGCTGCCCTCGAGCAAACCTGACCACCTGGGGAGACAGCCATCAGTGAGCTAAGAAGTGATGGGTTTGTGTCCTCACAGCAGGAAGTGGTCAAGCATTCAGCTCTCCAGCCATCTATGGCCTCCATTAGCATAAACCTCAGAGAAGTTTCTGGCTAAGTGCTGAAGGCCTTAGCAGTCCTAAGCCTTCCCTTGAGAAATGACCCAGGTTTGAGAGGCTGCAGGTGCTCAGAGCTGGCAGAGCAGGACCACCCCCACACCCCGACCCTGCAGCCTCCTTGACCAAGGTCTCCTGTGAGCCGCTCTGCTGAGCAATCACGTGCACCCCCGGCCCAGCCCGACAGTGAGTTTCGCTAGAAGGAGGAGGTTTCACCCAACGCCAAGAGCTGCTTGTCAAGCACTTCTGGCTGTAGGAACTCCTGGATCTGACCAACAGCAGAAATGTCTAAGGTGCTCCAACAGGAAGATCACCCTTACTGCCTCCCTCCAAGAATCTTGCACTGAGACATAAGGGAGCGTGAAAAGGGCCTTTAGTTTAAGGCACCCTTGATATTAACGACCAGACACAGTCCATCTCTAGTCCGGTCCATGGGGTGAGAGGCTAACAGCCCTCCTCTCGGAGCCCCAATCCTCTCTGGATGCCACGTGGGGGGGGGAGGGGAGGGAGAGGAGGAAGGCCAGGGAGGGGAGGAGAGGGAGGGGGAGGCTTGGTGGCAGCGCGCGCCGTCTGCCCACCAGCTGGCAGAAGCCTGAGGCAGGGGAGGCACCAGCTCTCGGCCCCCCAACTGGTCAAAGCTGATCTGAAGGGTCTGCAGAGGGATGGCGGCCGTATGTGGCTATTCACCGCGCATTAGCGTGAGACCCCTGCGGCTCAGCTGCTTGCTTGACCGTGATACGGAGGCTACTGAAGGCGTAGCCTGCAAGCCATAAGAGGAACCTCCAACTCCTGGCCCCAGCTCAAGCCCACCATGTAGAAAGGATGCGGGAGCTGCGCCGGGAAACCCGCCCCCAGCCGCTTTTACCTGCCGAAGCGCCCGACACCGTCCACTACAAGCCTCATCCTTCTCTTCTCCTGAGGCTCTGCGGTGAAATAGCGGATCCCAAGAAGCAGGGGTACCCCCATCACCGTGGCAGACAGAGCCTTCCTCCAGGGGCCGGGGTCTCGCGGACCTGGAGGGAGACAGGTACATGGCTCAGGTCACTTCGCTCCTGCCCCTGCCCACCGGGGCCCGGCTCTGCAGCTAACACGGGTTCCGGGTGCCCACGTGGACACTCGAGTGTTCCCGGTCACCTTGGACGCCGGGCTCCGAGGGGCCGCTGAGCACAGGAGGGGGCCCCTTGGCTACATGGGAAGCAGCTCGCAGGCAGAGCTGTGACCCTCGCAGGACCGGGGCCTCCTGCGCCGTACGGAGCTATAGCCCGTCACCTCCACGACGGCCCAACCAGACGGCAGAGCGTCAGACAGCAGCGTGGGGCAACACGCACAGGTGACGGCTACTACGGTGCGAGGCCGCCAGGAGCCCAGCATCCAGTCACACGTCTGCCCCAGGTCACCAAGCAGCAGCTCCACCAGGCCCGGATCCGGCCTCCTGACACCGCCCCTCAATGCTGCCCCACCCCACCCACGGGCCCCAGGCCTGGAACCCCCTCACCCACATTTCTTGCTGCTTCCACCCCTGGCTGTGGCCCCATCCACGGCACTCCCGCCCTCCTGCACCGGCCTGGACCGGTCATTCTGTCTTCTCAGAGCACACGGCTCTAGCTGCGGTCTACTGGCCGCCGCTGGCCGGGAGTCCTGCCCCACGAACTCTGGGCCCTGGGTGGGGGTTCCAAGCCACCTCACCAGAGAGCAAACGATCTGTCTTGGGGTGGAAGCAGAGAAGCCCAGCCTTGGGCCACACAAGACAGGTCTTCCCTCCCTGCCTGGCAAGAAGCACGCGCCCTCGAGGGCACCTGTGGCTGCGGAGAACTCACCACCTTGCAGGCAGGACCCCGAGGCTTCTCCTGAAGAAGGTGGCAGGGGACGGGCAGGGCTCCTGCCCGCTCCGCAGCAGGGCAGAGTGGACGCGGCAGAGCTGGGCCTGCAGGGTGAGCGAGCGGCAAGGGGTCAGACGCGGCAAGAACTCGCCCTCCAGCTTCCTGCTGCCCCGGCATTCCCAGGCCTGGATCTGAGGGGCACCTGTGCCTTCCGGTGCCCAAATATGCCATCGAAGCGAGTCAGCATTGCCGGGCCCTGTGCGCGGGGCCCGGCCTGCATGTCTGACTCAGGAAGGCAAAGACCATCCCATCTCCTGCGAGTAAGGCCAAGATCCGGGAATCACAGGAGACAAGGAAAGGCTACACACAGTCTGCACCTCGACAGGTCACTAGAGACATCCCCGCCTCTGACACCCCTCAGTCCCTGCCTGACACTCCACTGGGGCCCTGGGACCTATGACGCCCGCCTCTGACACCCCTCAGTCCCTGCCTCTGACACTCCACTGGGGCCCTGCGACCTATGATTTACTCTTTTTCTGCTGTTTGCCCACTGACCAGCAGCCTCAGGAAGTCATTCTTAATTTCTAAAGGAAAGATCAATAATGCTTCGTCACACAATCAGAAAGATGTCAGGGGGCACCTGGGTAGCTCAGTCGGTTAAGCATCCGACTCTTAGTTTAAGCTCAGGTCATGATCTTGCAGTTCGTGGGTTCGGGCCCACGTGGGGCTCTGTGCTGACAGCGTGGAGCCTGCTTGGGATTCTCTCTCCCCCATCCCTTCTCTCTCTGCCTCTGCCTCTCTCTCTCAAAATAAATAAATAAAGGAAAGGAAGAAAGGAAGGAAGGGAGGGAGGGAAGGAGGGATGGACGGAGGGAGGAAGACAGATGTCAGACTCTCAGGTGGAAGACCAGAAGCAGGAAAAAGTTGTTCTGAGAGCACGTGCTAGGACCCAGAAGCAGGGACCCGGAGCGGGGCAGATGCACCGAACCAGAAAGAGGGCGGGGACTGCCTGGGGCGCCGCTTACTCCAGTGGCCATGGAAACCTCATGGCTCTCCTGCCCCGACAGCCTTGCTCTCTCGATCTTATTTCAATTATGAAATAAGAGTTCCTCAACCACAAATTCCCCAACTGCAAATTCTCCTTTCAGGGAAGAAAAGGTGGTGCGTAGTAAGTCATGACCCACGGCACAGATGCTAACGTTGTCATCATGAAGCCCGGCCCAAATAAGGAATTGACTTTCCTAACATTTTCTGGCCAATGCACACAGCCCTGACGACAATTTCAAGGACTGCAAAACAACACAAAAGTCAAAGGAAAAGGTCCATGACCTATTGTCCCAAGAGGAGAGCGCAGGCTGACAGAAAACCTCTGCTCAGCAAGGCCACACACAGTGAGTGCAGATGCCCAAGGAAACCCCACAGAGGCCAGAAAGGCGACCACAGGCAGAAGGACGGGGGCAGGCAGAGTCCCTAGGCTTTCTGTGCAAGGGACAGCATGGCCCGGCGCCCCCGCTGCCCTCAGGGCACCCCACCTCCCACACCGCCCTCCAGCCCACGTGACCTGATTTGGCCACGCTGAGGCTCACCAGAAGAGGAAGCCCAGAGAATGGGCGTCTGTGAGCTCAGACATCTGGGGGACAGCTGCTCTGAACACTAGTATGTACCTGGAGGATGTGTGGTTCCCGCCAGGGTCTCCCACCTTGTTTGTCACACCCAGACCGCACACTCCCCTCAGACGCAGCTCTGTCCAGGCTCCGTCCGGCCCCCGCCTGTTCCCTTCAAGGTCTTCGGATATCGTACGCCTCACCTGATCCCGCATCTTCTAGCACACATACGCATCAAACAAACCCGCCAGAGATGCCCAGGATGACACTGGATCCTGCATGTGACCAGGGACCTCAGACAAATGTAGACAAAGCCCAGAAGTCACAAGGGCAGTGTGAGGGCATAGGGAGGGAGGACCCATGACCTGGCAGCAAGTGGGACTTCCACGTGGACACCGAAGACGGTCTTCTGTGCAGAGGATGTGGGTTCAGGGAAGGCCTGAAGCCAGGAGAGCACAGGGCACTTCTGGGGAGGAGAGGTCCGCGTGGAGACACTGTATGCTCACAGGTGCAGTGGGGAGGGGGGCCGCTGCCTGAAAAGACCAGACTGGGGAGCAAGGTGAGCTGGGGCCAGGCAGGGCACCCCAAGGGGCCCTGGGGGTTTTCCTGCAGGGAATGGACGATGTGCTGGGGAAGTCAGCCCATGAGGAGGGGGCTGGGTGATGGAGCCAAGTGGATTCAAGACAAGTGCGAGGGACTGGCAAGACGGCCCAAGGCCGGTGCCTGAGAGCCTGGGAGTGTCAGACGCAGTCACTCGCCAGCTGCCTGAAATTCTGGCCCGCGAGAGCTGTGCTAGGAATCTGATCTCTGGAAGACAGTGAGCCCACTGAGTAAGAACAAGCCCACCGAGCAAGAACTGACGACAGCCACCAGCTGCCAGCCACTGGAGCTCAGCACTCAGTATCAGTGACCCTGAGCACACCCAACAAGTAGATCCAGGCTGTGGGACATTCTGTAAACAGCCTGCTCTCTTCAGAAAGTCATTAGGACCCATGACTTGGGAATACTGGTGCTGGGCACAGCCATTTATTAATTATCTCTACTTCTGTAAATATTTTCCAGTTTTTATAACAAGAAGTTAAAAAAAAAAGTCACAAGAAAAAAAAGCGGGAAGACTTCTAGATCGAGAGGCCAAATAGACATGATACCGCGACGACGCACTTCAGGCTAAAAAAAGGCGCCTGCAAACACATTTCTGGGCAAATGAGCAAGTCAGAATATGGACAGACATTACAGGATTATTGTTCACATCTTTAGGCACGATTAAGCGAGAATGTTTTGTTGAGGGCATGCACACTGGAATGTTTAGAGACTGTTTATGTCTGCAACCTACTTTCAAATGGTCCAATGACAACAAAATACACAATTTCAAACAAAAATAATAACAACTAGGGCAGGATATTAAAAACGGGTGGATCTAGGTGGCCAGTAACTGGACAATTAACGATGTGGCAGCGTTCTGTCAGAGTGTGTCCCTATATTTAAACTTTCTCATGATCAAAGCTGCTATGATGCTCCAAGTCCCAGCCAGGAAGGTGGCATTGTTTTTGTGGTTTTTTTTAATTTATTTTTTAAATGTTTATTTATTTTTGAGAGAGAGAGAGAGAGAGCACACATGCTTGCAAGCAGGGGAGGGGCAAAAAGAGGGAGACAGAGGATCTGATGCGGGGCTCGAACTCACAAACCTTGAGATTATGCCCTGATCTCAAAGTCAGATGCTCAGCCAACTGAGCCACCCAAGGGCCCCTGTTTTTGTTTTTTTGACTTAACTTTTTACCTTTTTAATGATTCTATTGTTTCCTTTATAAACTTTTAGTTTGTTGTAATCACTTACAAAGCTTTGTGTAGTTAACACAAATGACTAAACTATGAATTCTCTACTTGAAATATAGTCACAAACTTTTACCACCTCCTCCAAATGCAAATACTTTTACATACTTTCAATTCTATTTTTAACCTTCCTGACTTTTATGTTATTGTCATGCATTTTTTAAAGTTTATTTAAAAAATTTTTTTTTCAACGTTTTTTATTTATTTTTGGGACAGAGAGAGACAGAGCATGAACGGGGGAGGGGCAGAGAGAGAGGGAGACACAGAATCGGAAACAGGCTCCAGGCTCCGAGCCATCAGCCCAGAGCCCGACGCGGGGCTCGAACTCACGGACCGCGAGATCGTGACCTGGCTGAAGTCGGACGCTTAACCGACTGCGCCACCCAGGCGCCCCTTAAAGTTTATTTTAGTTTCAGTATAGTTAACACACCAGGTCGGATCAGCTTCAGGTGTAGGATATGACTCGGCACCTCCATAGGCCACCCGGTGCTCATCCCAAGTGCACTGCTTCACCCATCCCTCACCCCCTCTGGTGGCCAGCAGTGTGTTCTCCGGAGTGCAGAGTCTGTATTTTGGTTTGTCTGTTTCCCCCTTGTATTTGTTCTGTTTCTTAAATTCCACGTGAGTGAACTCACACAGTAGGTCTTCCTCTGACTGACTTACTTTGTTTAGCATTATTACTCTCTGGCTCTATCCGTGTTGTTGCACATGGCAAGATTTCAGTCCTTTTTATGGCTGAGTAATATTCTGGTGTGTGTGTGTGTGTGCGCGCGCGCGCGTGTGTGTGTTTGCACGTGCGCACATCTTCTTTATCCAGTCATCAGTCGGTGGACACTACAACTGCTCCCGTATCTTGGCTACTGCAAATATGCTGCAATAAACACCAGGGTGTATGTGTCCCTGTGAATTAGTGTTTCTGTATTTTGGAGGGAAAAAAGCTAGTAGTGCAATTACTGGACGGGAGGGTGGTTCTATTTTTAACTTTCTGAGGAACCTCCACACTGTTTTCCGCAGTGGCTGCACCAGTTTGCATTCCCACCAATAGTGTACAAGGGTTCCTTTTTCTCCGCGTCCGAGGAAGGTGGCATTTTGAAGATGAGGCAGCTGGTGCAGGGCAGGGGTACTCACCGGGGGAGACTGTGTGCCCAGGACGTCTGGCACTGTTTGGAGACACTCTTAGCTGCCACAACCTGGGGAAAGGGGTGCTCTCGGTACTGAATGGGTGGAGGCCAGGGACACTGCTCGACACCACCCAGTGCCCAGGGTGGCCCTGCCCTAGAGACTCAGGCGGAGCCAAGGCTGAGGAGCTGGGGCAGACTATGAACCCAGACTTCTGAGCCTGTTAACTGGGATGCAGGCTCCGGCAAATGCTATCTGTGCAGTGTGTGTGGGTAAGTGACGTCCCTCTCTGTACCTTAGTTTCCCCATCTGTAAAGCAAGGACCGCTGTAGTATTAACGTACAGGACAAGTGAATGGACATTTGCAAAGCACTCTGCACAGTGCCCAGCCCACACGACAGGCCAGGCAGATGGGCATGCTGAGGTCACGCTGGGGTCAAGGAGAAGCTACTCTCCACAGCCTTCCTGTGCCTTGCCACCTGTGGGTCCCCGTGCCCTTACTCTCCTGCCAACAGCCTTGTCCCCACAAGCCCACACCACCTAACAGGAAGAAGTACATACCTGCTAGATTAAAGTGAACTACTTATATTAAAAGATCATCAGCCTCTTACTGCTTTTTCACAAGGAAGAAAAGCGGTTAGCCAAGAAGATGAGAGAGACTATTTCCAACATATGTAAAACTTGGAGATCGGTTATATACAGAATATGCAGAAATGCTTTAGTTAACTGGAGAAGGGTATGAGCAAAGTGAGAGGGCAGAAGAGTTCCGATGGGTTCATTGGTTCAGAGGCTGTACCACTGCAGACGAAGCAGGAAAACGCCCGAAGCCGATGGACAATGATTATTCTGAGACATCAGCTTTCAGAAGGGAAGGGAATGATCAGGGAGCTATTCCAGCCAATGAACTGGGGGGACAGAGCAAAAGGCCTCACGACTTGGAGGCTGAAGCAAGGGCTGGCCGGGAATGCAGCCTGCCAGCACCAGGCGTGGCTGCCTGAAGACCAGGGGCTGACCCCAGACTCCCCAGAAGCCCAGACCCTCCGGATGGCCCTGTGTGAGCGCTGAGCGGGAGGGGCCACGCTCGTGTTCTTTCATGGAGGAGAATGCTAAATCTGAATTATCTTTTATTGCTGAGCACATAGTAATAAATAACACATTTATTACTAAAGCACAAGGCCCTGGCTGCACCCCAAGCTTCAGGGTGGGGGAGGCCAGAAAGGTAACAGCCCCGGCCATGGCCCCCAGTAACAGTTTTCTGTTTTCTTAGATGCCGTTGCAGCAGGAGTGACTCCTCAGTCACCTTCCCATAACAAAGATCCCTCTGGTGGACCCCAGACAGCCCACGCAGCACCAGGCCCAGGCCTTTGTCCAGGCTGCTATTCTGCCTGGAACACCCTTCGCCAGACCCTACATTCATCAGTCCTGTCTGTCATCCCCCCGTCCGCCTCTGCACCTTGCACACACCTCTCCCGCTGTCCTTATCACACTGGAGTGTGACTGTTAGCTTATAGTCTCTGCCCCCCACCAGACTGTGCAGGGCTCACCTCTCCATCATCTCTGTGCTTCTAGGATCTAGTGCAGTGCCTGTTAGATAAAGCAGGAACTCGAGGAAGGCTTGTTGAATTGAGACAAACGGTGCTAAGCACAGAACGAACTAGCACCCCCACATGGCCCAGCCTTGGATGCTAGGTGAGCAATATGCACAATCAGGTAAGAGATGACAGCAGCCCGGCTCTGAACAGGACTTCTAGGAAGAGGCCTCATGCTGACAACTCCAGAGCCCCCACCAGGGTCCACAGGCACATTCCAGAACGTGGCTCCCTCCAGTTTGGGATGCCCAGTGCTCCTCAAACTATCCCCATCACCCAAGAGACATCCCCAAAGCCCAAAGAAGGCATGTGGCTATAAACACAGGGCAGAATCTGCAGCCAGATCTTCGAGGAACCAGCCCAGGACAACTGCCACCACATCACATATAACCCAAACCAGCCAGAGCTTGGGCACCAGGACACACCAGCAAACAGGAAGAGAGAGAGAGCTCTGGCTCCCCAGAATATCCCCCCCCACACACACACACACCAGGCCTTCTCACCAGGATGGCCACATGCCCTGGCTTGCCTGGGACAGTCCTGGCGCACGCGTGTCTCAACGGCCACCACTTCAGAGCCTTCCAGTTTGCATGAGCTGAACTGGGCCTCCTCTACCCCAGCCTCTCATGCTTTCTTAGAGCGTGTGCACCGCCTGCCTGCAGACACAGTGTTCATCTGGAACTCAGCTAACAACCCATAAAGTAGCAACAACAACAAAAAGCTCTCAGTAGTCAGAATCAAACAGATATTCCAAAGTCAAAGACAAGCTGAGGTGCCGGTTTTTCTAGCACCCTGTCGATCAGACAGAGCAGATTAGCAGATGAAAGGTCACTGCAGGTGACCCAACCCAAAGCGCGAAGAAGCAACTGCTGAACCTCACGATGAGGCCCTAAAACAGGAGGACTAGAGGTGACGAGAACCCGGGCACTTTCCAGCAGGGAGGAAACCAAGGCACAGCAGTGTTCCCGTGGGTAGGAAGTGAGACTGGAGAGGGCTCTGAGGGCCACGAACAGCCTGCCCTTTCTTTTCCAAGGGTCTGTGGCCTCTTGGCACCAGTCAGGACCCAGAAGCTGAATGGGCTCTGCTCCACTCGGCGGCTGTGAGCAGCCCCTGATCAGAAGCTAACGCCTGCCTGCCTGCTCCTTAGGCTGCCGGATTAAGTGACCCGACTATGTGCAGAAGCTCTGTAAGCTGTAAAGTGCTGTGCCCAGGCCCACTCGGCGTCTCTCTGCCTGACTCGGACTAACCCTGTTCCACCTCAGACTACAACGCCTGTGCAGGGCAGCTGCTCCTGGCAAGGCACGACGCCGACTCGGCTAGGCTCACTGAACGAACACAAGCTCTGCGCAAAGCTCCAAGGTGAAGGTGTCTTCAGCTCTAAGCCCTCTGACGAAAAGCCCAGATCCCTGGGGAGGCCGTGGCTAGGACCTGGGTCAGTGATCGTGAGAACCGGTTTAAACGGTGCCCGTCCTAACTGCAGATACAACACAAGGGGAGGCCCAACCAAGACAGAACTCGAGTAGCACCGCGATGGCAGGACAGCCGAGGGCCAGGCGGAAGTCTGGGTGGGGGTGGGGGACAGACCGCCTCCGAGCCAGGGCCGCTGTCAGCCCACCGGAGACACCGCGGCCCCCACACCCCCCAGAGTCCTCTCATCTCCTCACAAGCCGGGGGCAGGCGTCAGCTCAGGACGGTCTCAGGTGGCTTGGTGGCCAGGGGCAGGGTTCCCAGGGGAGCAGGCAGAAGGAAAGACGGGGACTCCGGTCTGGGATTATGGCAGAGATGAAGCAGTGAGGGGTAGGAAGGGTGTCCATCAGTCCAGGAAGCCAGGGCAGACTGCCCTGGGAAAAGGTGTCTCTGGACAGCGGTGTCCACGAGGGGATACGGTTTAGAGGTTGTCTCTGAGGCGGGTCCCTAACCCAGCACACGTGCTTCCGGCGAGAGGAGAGGGCTCTGCGGTGGGCTCGGGCTCCTAGGTGGTACCCAGCATCTCCCAACACAGCCTAGGGGCTTCTACCCTGAGGAACAGGGACTCTGAGAGATGTGAAGGACGCCCCCGAGAGCCCTGGGGGCCCCTGCCGGGCAGGGGGTCAGGGTCCCGGGGAGGGGGGGGGTGTGGGGGGAGGGTCCCTGACAGGTGGGAGCGACGGTCCCGGGGCGGGGAGGAAGTGTCGGTGGGTTGTGAGGGTCCCTGACGGCGCCCAGGACGGGGCGGCTCTGGGGTGGCTCCGAGGGCTCCGGACGGAGACTGACGGGATCTGTGGCGCCCGCGCGGGGGGACGACTCACCGGCCGCCACATCTTCCAGGCCGCCGCTCTGCTCCCGCTCGCCGCAGACTCGCGTCTTCCGGCCCAGCAGTCCCCGCGAGGCGGGGAGCAGGGCGCACGCGCGCCCCGCCCCGAAGGCGGTGGGCGGAGCCCTAGGCCACGCCCCCGCGTGCTGGCCTCCGCGGCGGAGCAGCGCCTCCTGGCGGCGCCCGTGAGCTTGCTTTAGGGCTTGGGCAGCGCCAGGCGCCTGGGCCGGGGAGGACGCGGCCCGGGCGGCGGCGGCCAGTCGGACAGGCAATTCCCGGGTCAGGGCTCACTGCCGCTCGGGACGGGGAGTGGGGGGTCTTCTCCCACCCGGATGGAAGCTGAGGCTCGGGGAGGTCTGCGCACTCGCTCCCCAGGAGCTCACAGCGTGGGCGGACGCCGGAGGGAGATGGGAGCGCACGGCGGGCAGGGGGCCGCTGCTCAGAGAGCCGGAGCCCCGCCGGTGGGGCGGGGAGGGGCGGCCCGCCAGCTCAGCACAGCTGTGCCACGGGTTAAGGTGAAACTGCTTTGCGGCTCGCTTTCCTCGCTGCAAAATGAGGCTGTGACTGAGTTGCCGAAGCAGCTCCTTGTTCCGTGCAACGCCCTTGTTCCTTGGACCCAAGCCGGGGATGCCTCGGAGCGCCTGCTGTGTGCGGGGCGTCAGGGAAGGCGGGCAGTCCAACACGCCGGGATTGGGGCGCACAGGGCAGGCAAGGCCCACGGGCAGTCTTCTTCCTCCCGCACCCGCCCGCCAGCCGGCCCGGATGGCAGGGCAGGACCCCGTCCCCTCCCCTCAAAGGCCCTCTGAGCCCGGGCCGGTGCTCCTCCTCCCTCCTCTCACCCCTGCCAGGGTAACCCCACTCGCTCGGGGTTCTCTCCTCAGGCAGTCAAAACCCCGCCTCCCCGGTACCCCAGCCTGCTACCACCCAGCGGAGCTTCCCCAAAGGCCGCCTCAGCGCAGAGCTCGCGCCGCCCCCCTCCCGGCACCTCCTCTCAGCAGCCACGCCCCTCGAGGTCGGGGACTCGGGGACGAAGCCTCCAGCTGCCTGGCCGTCCTGCAGCGGCCGCCCTGGGCCTGTGTCCCCTGCTGCACACCTGCTAGCCCCACCGTCACGTGGACTGCCCTGAAAGCTTTCTCCACGTTGGCCGATCCCACCTGGCAGCTCCTCCCCATCCTCCCACATTGTTCCTTTCCTCCAGCACGGCCCCCTCTCCTCCCACCTGGTTCCTCCCTCTCCTCCTAGTTCCTCCCCGTCCAGCCCAATGGTGCCTGCTTTTTGTCGCTACCCCTGGGCCAAGTGAAGCCAGCGTCTCCGGCCACGGGACACACCACCCCAGGTCTCTTCTGCTACAACATGGCTGGCTATCCAGAAGCACCTTGTTCCCGTTGTCCGCAGTATGACAAACGCTGGGCTCCATACTCTGGCCGAACACAGACAGCTGCCTTCACTGTTTTGTGGTTGTTGTTGTTGTTGTCGTTGTTGTTGTTCTGTCTGCCTTGCCAGGAAGACAGTCTTCACCACCGCGTCCCTGGAGTCCAGGCCATGGCCTGACAGTGGAACTTGAGCCCCTCCCAAGGCCAGGCTTTCTGGAATGTTCCCAGTTGCCCACATTCAGCCTCCTCACCTAACCCCATAATGTTTAATGAAACAGGTCCAGGAGTTACCCCATATGGAAATGCTCCCCGGGTGTCTGAGAAGTGACCCTAGCAAGGCTGAGAGTAGCAACATGAGCTCCGACACGGACACTCAGGAAGCCTGGGCCACCTGCCCTGGGGCTGGGAGTGGAGGTGGGTGAGGGGCTTTCTTGTCCACTTTTGGGAAACAAGGGACAGCCAGTTACCACTCCCCAGACTCACAAAGGAATGACCTCTGTTCTGTTGCCACATCAGAGGACCCTAGTACTGACTGGGGCTCCTGTCCCAGGCACAGGCACCTGGACTGAATGGGGGGCTCTACCCCTGGTGGTGCTATGTGAAGTTATTTCCCCAAAACTGAGGCAGCTGGGTCCCAGGACCAAGAAAACCTTCTACCAAGTGACCACTACTCCTGGTCCACCCAAACCGCACACACAGTCCACTCCAGTGCTGTCCGCCAGTCCCCCATGCCAAGCACATCTCCCAAATCTCCCAGCAGCCCTGTGTTCCCAGGCCTTTGAGTCTACAAAACTGTTGTTGTTTTTTAATGGATTTACTAAGAAGCATGACTCTCACACAAACATAAACGAACATGTATCTGATGACTGAACAGTGTTCCTGCAAAAGACAGGTCCAGGTCCTAACCTCTGCATTTTGTGATAGGACTTTATTTGGAAATAGGGGTGTTATGGATGTAATTGAGGTAAGGTTCTCCTGATGAGATCATCCTGGAGGAGGATGGGCTCTAAGTCCAGTGGCTGGTGTCTTTAGAAGAGAGAAAGAGACCTGAGACACGGGGAGAAGCCGATGTGAAGGCAGAGTTGGAGACAGAGGGATGTGGCCACGAACCAAGGGACGCCCAGGATCACTGGCAACACCATAAGCAGGGAAGGGCCTTGGAACGGGGTCTGCCTCAACATCCAGAAAGAGCCAGCCCTGTCAACACCTTGATTTCAGGTCTCTGGCTTCCAGCACTCTCATGGAATAAATTTCTGTCATTGTAAGCCACCAAGTTTGTGGTGATTTGTTTCATCATTCCTTTTTTTTTTTTTTAATGTTTAATGTTTATTTATTTTTGAGAGAGAAACAGAGTGCGAGCAGGGGAGGGGCAGAGAGAGAGGGAGACACAGAATCCGAAGCAGGATTCAGGCTCTGAGCTGTCGGCACAGAGTCCGATGTGGGGCTAGAACCCAGGAGCTGTGAGATCATGACCTGAGCCGAAGTCAGATGCTTAACCGACTGAGCCACCCAGGCGCACCTGTTTCATCATTCCTAAAAAACCAGTACAGTGTGTCAAAGGTTGACTAAACTCTGAACTAATGAGAGAACAAGGAAGTGACTACAGATTCAAAAGAAATTCAAAACCCACAAGTTTATGTGGAGTAAAGAGACGATGAAATGAATTTTTTCTTTTCTTTATTTATTTAAAATATATTTTTAAGTAACTTTTACAGCCAACATGGGGCTCGAACTCACAACCCTAAGATCAAGAGTCACACACTCTACCAACTGAGCCGGCCAGGTGCCCCTGTTTGTTTGTTTTTAAAATTCCGTTTTATAATCTGTAAAATAAAGTGTTTATGACATTTACATTTTTTGAAATGAATTTAAACATAGATGGAGATTGGCATTTTCCACACACAAAAAAGCAATTGAATCTCCACCGAACCACATTTATTCACAAATCTATGAAAACGAAATGTCTGCATTGTTATTGGTCATCTACGATTTAGAGAGCTGTAAGACAGCTCCGAGGGGATGAGAGGTAGATCTGGTAGAATCAGAATCAAATAATCCAGAAAGGTGGACTCTGACCAGATGTGGTTTTCTGTTAGAAATACCACTAATGTGGGACACCTGGGTGGCTCAGTCGCTTGAGCGTCTGACTCTTGATCTCAGCTCAGGTCATGATCTCATGGTATTTATTACATGGTATTAATACATTTTGTTTATTCCAAAATTTAAAGTGCTTATTACTGTCTCCTCCCAACTTCCAATTAAAAACAATTTTTTTTTCCATGGGACACACGGGTGGCTCAGTTGGTTGAGCATCCGACTTCAGCTCAGGTCATGATCTCACCGTTAGTGAGTTTGAGCCCCACAACAGGCTCACCGCTGTCCGCACAGAGCCCTCTTCGGATCCTCTGTCCTCCTTTCACTCTGCACCTCCCCCACTTGTGCTCTCTCTCAAAAATAAATAAATATTTTAAAAATTTTCAAGAGAGAGAGAGCGCACGCTCATGTGTGCATGCACATGAGTGGGGGGGGGGGCAGAGAGAGAGAGAGAGAGAGAGAGAGAGAGAATTCCAAGCAGGCTCCGCACTGTCAGCACAGAGCCCCATGCGGGGCTGAAACCCACAAACTGTGAGTTCGTGACCTGGGCTGAAATCAAGTCAGAGGTCTGACTGAGCCACCCAGGCCCCTAAAAATAAACATTTAAAAAAATAAATAAGGAGTGCCTGGGAGGCTCTGTCAGTTAAGCGTCTGACTCGTGGTTTCAGCTCAGGTCATGATCTTGTGGTTCATGAGTTCAAGCCCCAAGGTGGGCCCTGCACTGATGGTGCAGAGCCTGCTTGGAATTCTGTCTCTCTCCCTCTCCCACTACTCCTCCCCTGCTTGTGTTTCCTCTCACTCTCAAAAATAAATAAATAAACGTAAAAATTTTTTTTTTCAAATAAGATCACTCTGGGCCATAAAATGAGGCTGGTCTTAGTAAGTGTGATCCAGTCATTTATGGGGGTGTAACAAGTGTTAAACCATAGATTTGCTTTGCTGGAAGTTTTCATAAGAAATCTCGGAGTGAAGTTTCAAAAGTCTCTATTATTCTCCCAAGGTGCGAAACACAATACCTATTAGTTGGGTGAATTTCTACATTCCTGAACCTGCTAGGAAGTGAGTCTTCCTGACCACCTCCTGTAAGGCCCAGAATCCGAGGAGGGTTTTGAGTCTTTTTTTTTTTTTTTTTTTTTTTTTTTTTTTTTTTTTTTTTTTTTTTTTTTTTTTTTTTTTTTTTTTTTTTTTTTTTTTTGAGTGTGGCTAAAGTTTTCTCACTTTTGTTGATCTTTTCAAAGAACCAGCTCCTGTTCACTTGATTTTTTTAGTTTCTGTTTCATTTATTTTTGCTGTAATGTTTATTATTTTCTTCCTCATATTTGTTTTGGTCTCTGTTCTTCTGTTTCTAGCTATTTCAGGTGTAAAGTTAGGTTGTTTATTTGAGATTTTTCTTGCTTCTTGATGTAGGCCTGTATTGCTATAAACTTCCCTCTCCCTCTTAGATCAGTTTTGCTGCATCCCAAAGATTTTGGACAAGTGTGTGTTCATTTTTATTTGTCTCCATGTAGTTTGTAATTTCCTCTCTGGTCTCTTAGTTGGC